AGATGGTGAGAGTCTTCATCACATTACTCAGAACAATGTAAAATTTAGAGCTTATAAACTGATTATTTCTGGAATTTTCCTATGCATATTTTCAGAACGCAGTTGAAAGTGACCAAACAAAATTGCAGAAAAAGGGGCTGCTGTATTTCTTGGAGTCCTACTTGTAATTCCTTATAACTTCAGTTGTTTTTCAGAGTTTGTGAAACACTGTCCACCTCACTCTGTTTTCAGTATCACAGCGTGGCCGAGGCACCCGGTCAGGGAAAGCAAGGCCTCTCTGGGCTCGCTGCCCCTAGCTCCCTCGCTGCGGAGGCTGTCCTGGTGATAGATCTGTGGATGAGGGTGGATCCCCTCACCTTTACAGGCTGGGCAACACCCAGGCAGCCCAGCCGCAGGCAGTATTATACAGGGCAGGGCCCAATCGGCTCCCAGAGCACCAGGTTTGCTGACATGTGGGGTGGCAGCTAGACGGAACCTTGTCAGGGCCTCAGAGCAAGATCGACGTTGGAGCCGCCCAGGGTCAGAGGCAGGAGGCGCAGACCTTCGCTTTCTTTAGTCAGAGGCAGGGTGGAGGGAGAGGAGCAGGAGGAACAGGCTCCTTACAGAAGCTCCACCCAGTTACTCAGGTTGGAGGAAACACTGGTTATTCCCACTTGGGGCTAAAGGGACAGGCGGGAAAGTTCCTGGTGTGCACCTCCCCAAGAAGCCCAGGTAGCCTTTGAGGGCTTGGAAGAGAATCTGGTGCAAAGCCATTGCAAAGCCAACTGACCCGTCCTAAACCAAACAGTAGTTTTTGGTGTCCGTCAGCTTCTGTGTCTACTGAGCTGTCACTTCTGGGCATCTTCCTGTTCTCCCTCAGGAAAGCCATGGAACCCTCAACCCCTGGTCCAGTTGCTGGCCTCTGGGGAATGGAGAAATGGCTGTGGTGGGAGCCAGTGTTGAAACTCAAGGCAGCTGCCATAAAAAGTGAAAGCTGACCTCGATTCCTGTGGTTTGGGGATCCCTGGGGATCAGGACCCTCCTGGCAGCAACTTCTGTCTCTCCCATGTTCACTGGATGTCTGTTGCTTACTAAGTCAGTAAAAGTACACAGTGAGAAAGACCACAACAGCAGGCCACCCGTAGCCAGCTTCCACCCAGCCAGGTCCCATCCTGCAGCCCTAGTCTCTAATGTTCACCCACCACGTGCTCCTTTTGCCTTTCTTTTCTGTTGAAGACGTTCTCATGAATTCCAACTGTGCAAGGTGAAGACTTAGCCCCACCCACACCCACGATCTGGTTATGTCACCATTGACACTGAAAGCCACATTCGCTATTTAAGCATCATTATGACTACAGCAAAGTCATGAGATCCACACCTGTCTGCTAATTTGGTGGTGTTGAGTCTTAGCTTGGAGAAGGCATTCTTAATTTTTTTAAACTCAGGGCCTGGTGCTTGCTAAGCAGGTGCTGTACTTCTTGAGCCACACCCCAGTTCTTTTTTTGCTTTGGTTATTTTTGCGGTAGGGTCTTGCGTTTATGCCTGGGTTGGCCAGGACTGCAATCCTCCTATTTACACTTCCCACACAGCTGAAGTAACAGGCTTGCACCACCACACCCACCTTTCATTGGTTGAGATGGGGGTCTCAATACCCGGGTAACTCGAGCTGAACATTTCAGAAACAGGAGGGTATTACAGGTGAAATCCTTAAAGCCTCCTCCCCACTGCAAAGGAAAATATCCACCCATGAGCAAAGGCAGATGACCCAAAAGTATATATATATCTCAGCCTGTGCCATCGGGGAGAAAAATCCCCTTGAGAAGTTGTAATGATGAGCCTATATTCTTTAGGTTTGGGACTTGAATTTACACTGCCTGCATAGTCCAGAACCCACAGAGCTGTGAAAATAGCATAGAAATGATCACAGGTTGGTAATTCAACCGGGAGTCTTGCAAACACAAAATCTCTCTCAGTGAAGACATATCGTCAGTCGAGGCACAAAAGATTCCCACAGATAGAGCAGTATTGAAAATGAACTCACAATCCAAAATTATAAAGCACACAAGGAAACAATCAACAAACCCAAGCAAGAGAGGAAGTAGATCCCCCAAGAACCATAGGTAATAAACGGATTATTAGGTGACAGCTTTAAGCAAGTGTTATGGTTTGAACATGAAATGTCCCCAAAGGCTCGTGTGCAGAAGGCTTGGTCCCCAACTGGTGGCATTATTTTGGGAGGTGATGGAAACTTTAAGGAGGTGGGGCCCAGCTGGAGGAAGCAGGCACTGGGGGTGTGCCTTTGAAGGTTATAGCTAGACCCTGAGCCCTCCTCTTTCTCTGCTTCCTGTCCACCATGAGGTGAAGAAGCTCTTCCTTACCACACACTCCTGCTGCCATGATGCTCTGCTCTAGTGCATGAGGCCAAGAACCCTCTAAAACCATGATCCATCCAAGATAAACCCTCCCTGCTTTAGGTGGTATATGTCAAGCATTTTGTCACAGCAACAAGAAAAGTAACTAACACAACTGTTGAGTCCAGGGAGGACAGAGTCCATTCATGACACCAGGGCAAAAATGTGAGACCCTATCCAAAAACTAACTAAAGAAAAACAGGACTGGGGCATGGCTCAAGTGGCAGAGTGCCCTGCCTAGCAAGCAATTCAAATCTCAATACTGTAAAACTAATTACATGAAATTGTGTCAGCCGGGCACCAGTGGCTCACCCCTGTAATCCTAGCTACTCAGGAGGCAGAGATCAGGAGGATCACAGTTCAAAGCCAGCCCAGGCAAATAGTTCATGAGATCCTATCTTGGAAAACCCATTACAAAAAAGGGTTGGCAGAGTAGCTCAAGCAGTAGAGCACCTGGCTCACAACAAGCATGAGGCCCTGAGTTCATGCCTAGTGCTACAAAAAAAAAAAAAAAAAAAACGGAAACAGAACTGTGTCTAATCCAACAGAAACCAGATTCAGACTAAGAGTGCATGAGCGTGGCATCCTGTGGTCACCCTCTGCATACTCTGCAGGTGTACGGGCAGTCTCACCAAGCCACTCCAGCACCGCAGCCTAAAGAGTGGGTGGTACACAGCTGTCTGTAAGGAAAGCCGGGTGGTATGCTGTGACTGCTCAGGAAGGTGGGAGCGTGCACTGCACTGTCAGGCATCAGGGGAAGCACCTGTGCCCAGCAGGCACTCCAGAAGAGCCTTGTCAGGAACCTAATGTTTGTAGCACAGAGTCCTAAGGCCACACGCCAGGGGTCACAGGTGCATACTGAACCAGGTGTTCCCCCTCCACCTACGAGGGCATGGCCTCAGATGAGGTCTGGGTGGAGCTGACAGTGGAGGCCTGAGTCCTGTAAGCTGTGTCTCTTGGCCCTGGGTTTCCCTGCCCAGCAGCGTGGCAGGCCTGGATCAGAAGGCAGGGTTGAGCCTTGGCTCCTGCTTGGTCCCAAGCTGGATGTTTTGGGTGGTGACAAGGAAATGTCTGGTGCTTTGGGTCTTCCTGGTGTGAGGGTGGGGTAAGCTGGACAGTCTGTGGCCTGGATGTCTATGTGTGAGGATGTGGCTGGCCCGCTTGCTCCAGCCAAAACAACTTTTTTCTAGAATATACCATCCCATCTCAGGCCAAAGGCAGGGCACCTCTCTGCTGTGCTGAGCCCTGGAAGGCATAGCTGGCACCCTTAGTGACCCTTAGTTGTAAGACTCTTGACCTGCGGCAACTGCAGAGCTCAGGAGACCTGAGACTCACTTTTGTTCCTCCTAGGAACAAAGGAGTTGTTTCTTCCTAAAGTGGAAAGACGAAGAGAATTGTTAGTCAATTCTCAAACCAGGATGCAAAACAGCATGACAGAGAATGGGAAGGAAAAGGAAAGAAGCCGGTCCTCCTGGGAAATGGAGGAAAATGAGAAGTGGCCTCAGGAAGGGTAGTACAGTAGGTACCACGTGGCAAAATGGGGGAGAGGCCAGCGGGCATTAAGCCAAATGGCCAAGTTTTAATAAGAAAATGTCCTGGGCCCCAACTCCTGGCAGAAAGGACTTAAAAAAGAATTCTCATTCTGGTGTGCCAGGGAACTGATGAGCTGTAGCTGAGGAGGTAGCAGCCCGGAGAGATGGCACATTGGTATGGCGCCAATGTGTCCATGTTTCTGGATGATGGGGACCAGACAGATAAAAATATGGATAAATCTGGGTAATCCTTGGGGTGTTGGTGTAGTAAGATAGAGAAATCCATATGCATATGCACACGTAAGTCACATTCACTCGTCCTGATCTCTCTGCTGAGGGCCTGGCAGCATCCCCAGAGCAGTCACTGCTGGGTCTGCGTTTCTGACATCGCTCTCCACACAAGTGAAGTGGTTGGGTGGGGGGCGGGTGGGCAGGGAAGCAGGTGGGTGGATGGATGGGTGGGTGAATAGGTGAGTGGGTGGTTCGATGGACAGGTGGTAGACAGGTGAGTGGATGGATGGTGGGTGAGTGGATGGCTTGGGAAGGTGGAGGAATAAGAAAGCATAATCGGGCTAATGAGATCACATGTAAGTAAGTGAGGAACCTGGAGAAGGGTAGGCCAGAGGTCTATGTGCAATTCTTGTAACTTTTCTGTAATTGGAAATTATCTCAAAATAGAAACGTAACATATGATGAGGCTGGTGGAGTGGCTCAGGTGGTAGAGCAAATGCCTAGCAAGCGTGAGGTCCCGAGTTCAAGCCTCAGTACTGCAAAAACACAAACAAAAAAGGTAACATATGAAAGGCTGAATGATAAACACATAAAAAGGCCATTGTGGTGCTGGAACTTCCCCACCAACATGGGCGTCCCTCCACTGCATCCCATGGAAGGGCCCGGGCTCGGGAGGAAAGACACCCCAGGTTGCCCAAACATTTCCTGCACCTCCCATGACCTGGGGTGTCTCCAAACCACACATCACACCCTCAGACCTCTGGTTTTCAGAATCAGATTCTTAGAGGCTGGTTTTTAGGAAAAAGTACTCTCACTGACTTCCAAAACACAGGTGAGTATTTTGTTTTATTGATCTCAGACAGCTCTCCTGTCTTCCTTCTATATACAGGGAGCACGCAGAGGCGTATTAAAACATAGCCAGTTCTACAGTTCGGTATTTTCTGTCATAGAAAAGAAGTAACTTGCCCACGGATTCACATTAACGTACACAGTATGTTAATATCAATCTTTGCATCATACACCAGGCCACTGCACGTTTATACACAAGGTCTCTTCTGCTACAAACTTTTATGCGGTAACAATACACGGAAGGCACCATGGAGGACACACAGCACAGTGAAGCAATGAGGTTAATGACCAAATCATTGACATCCAGGAGTGCAACTGTCCTACATGGGGCTGCACCCCATGGCCACAGCAGGGACACATGAGGAGTCACTGCAGAGCAGGTCAGAAAAGCCCGAGACACCAAATCGGGAAGCGTCCCGGGCACGAGCAACCATCTCACCAAAAGCGAGAGCCAGAAGAAGCTGGGCGAGCGGTTTGTCTAACAAGGTTAACACTTGCAAGTCCAAAGCTGAAGCTATAACAAGTTTTTAAATGATTTCTACACACGTAGCTCGAGTTCCAAACATGTCTTAGGCAATGATGACCGCGCACTGCGAGGGGCACCAGGAGGTCAAGTGGAGGACTCCTGGATCGCATATAAATGGTGGTGACTTTGCTCTTCAAACCAATTCCAACACTTTGTAGTCATCCCTTGCAGCCTAGACTGTCTGCCCAAAGCTACAACGTCCTTAACAGGTCCCAGCAAAGCTGATGGCCAGCCATCTATGGAAGGCTCTTCATACACAAGAACCCGCTACGCTTCCCGAGACCAGCTCTGCTGACCACACACTGTGAAGACACTGTTCCTCCCGTTCTCTGAGCAATCAGAGGTGGCTCGATCCTGGGCAGAGGGAACATCGTCACCCAAGCTTTGTCACCAGGGACACATAAAGACTGCCCATCAACTAAGAGTACAACGCAATGATGCCAACCCGTCCTCCCTTTGGATGCCAGATGCCCTGGTTGGTAGATGGGTCACCAGCCAAGTGCCTGCCCAGCCGACCTCAGACAACCTCACATAGAGGGGATGGTGCCAGTGGGCAGCACCTGTGCTGATGTTCTTGCACTGCCTCGTCCATTGGCCTCCACTATGTCAATGTTTTTGCAAAAGCCAAAACAGGGTGAGTGGAGTGTCCCCAGCATGGCATCCTTCTATCCCCACATGGACCTTAATGACGGGTCAGAAGCCCACAGAGACCGCCAGTAATGGGGGCAGCAGGCTAGGTCTTGCTGCGCTGGAGGAGTGTAGCTGCAGGGCCCTGGCTGCCCTGAAACTTGAGGCTCTGCAGGTTGATGTAGGCCCCATGCTTGAGCAGTGTCTCCACAGTCTGTGCGTGCCTGCCCTGAGCGGCCAGGTGCAGTGCACTGAGGCCCTGCTCATCAGCCAGGTTGATGATGTCAGCACTGACCAGCTCCTCCACCACTTCTGAGTGCCCGTGGGCTGCAGCCAGGTGCAGCGCAGTCTGGTTCAGGGGCCCCCGGGCTAGTACATCAGCATTCTCCTCCACAAGCAGTTTCACGGTGGCCAAGTGACCATTTCGGGCTGCCAGGTGCAAGGCGGTACAGCCCTCTGTGGTCACCGCCTCCTTGCTGGCACCACGATGCAGGAGCAGCCTGGTGGTGCTGGTGTGCCCTGTCTCTGCAGCGACATGCAGGGGCGTCTGTGCCAGCAGACTGCAGACGTTGACGTCGGAGTGCAGGTCGATGAGGATACGGGCCACGCGGTAGTGCCCCCGCTGAGCGGCCAGGTGCAGGGGTGTCCTCCCGTCTAGCGTCTGCGCGTTCACGCTCACCCCCGGCTGCTTGGCCAGCAGCTTGACGATGGGCAGGTGGCCCTGCCAGGCAGCGTAGTGCAGAGGCAGCCAGGCACCCTTCCCCTGCAGGCCCATGTCCACACCGCGGCGTAGCAAGATCCGCACGATGTGCTCCTGCCCGTGCTGGCAGGCCACGTGCATGGGCGTCCGGCCCTCAAAGTCCACCTCGTTCACAGAAGCGTTCTTCTCCAGCAGCTGCCGTGTGCTGGACTCGTCTCCATTCTGGGCCGCAAAGTGCAGGGCTGTCCACTGGTCCTCATCCTTGGCGTTCACACTGATCTTCCGGGCCAGCAGGAGCTCCACGACACCCCGCACCCTCCGCTCCACGGCCACGTGCAGCGGGGTGGAGCCCTTCCGGTTGGTCAGGTTGGGGTTGGCATTGTTAAGCAGCAGCCACTTGACACACTCCTCCTGCCCAGCCTCCACAGCCAGGTGCAGCAGGCTGGCGTTGCCGTCCAGTACCAGGTCCACATCCTGGGGCTGCAGGATTTTCATCAGTTTGCTGGTGTCCCCTGACACAATGGCATCCACAAGCTTCCTCTTCTGGATGTCTGTGGTACCCAGATCTGAGAGGATAGGAGAAGCGAGGTCAGAGCGAGACTATGTGTAAGAGATATCAGCTTCCTGAGGCCTGGCTGCTCGTGTCAGGAAGTATGGGGACCCAAACCTCGAGGGACTCTAAGCAAGGACACTAGAGATGTGGCAAGTCACTTTCTACCTGCAGGCAGTTAAGCATCCATTCCACCTCATTTATTTTAGATTTATTTTGACAGGGTGATTAATATGGTCAAGGTTTTCCTTTCAGTTTGCAAAATGAAAACTACTCTAGCTATTCCATGGGGCAGTGATAACATGAAGGAGGTAGGAATCTGAGCCCTTGGTGCAGTGAAACAGCAGGACTGATAAAAAGAGAAAAATAGCAGAGTGAAAAGCCCAGGCAGGAGCCCCACCTACCTGAGGTGTGGATGGTCCCCCACGACACCTTCCCAGGGCCCAGGGACCCATTGAGCTGGCACCTAGAGCCACAAGGAGCCCAACTCCCAGTCCAACCTCAAAACAACTCCTCCTGTTCTGGGGACATTACAGGGCACTCCTCAGAGGACAGGGCCTCTCATTTCAGGACCATTGCCCCCCCTGCATTCAGCATGGCCCTCTTCACCACAAAAATCCTACCATATTACTTGGGTGGGAGTGGGGGGGGCAGTGCTAAGAAAATGGGACCTGCTCAGTTAGACCTGGTAATTAAATACTGCCTTCTGAGTGGCCAGTAAGTCATCCCCAGAGAGGGCCAGACCTGAGAAAAAGGCTCTAGAACACATTTCTCCAAGGAAGATGGTGATGGTTCTTTCTGGCTAGCCTCAACTTGGCCCTGACTTCCCCTTTCAACTCCTCTGTCCACACTTGCCAAGCCAGGTCTTCCTCAGCTATGCTTTACTCTTTACCTGTCTGCCCTGCTCTGCTGGGCTTACTTGGCTACCAAACCTTCAACGCCCTTTTGCCCCAATATTCAACCCAAAAGAATCCCTGGAGGCTAGAAGTCCTCCACATCAAGGAGGCATTCCCACTCCCCAACACCTCCCTCTTCCCTGAGAGCACAGCTTTTGCACAGCTGTATGTTGTCAAGACTCCGTCTCCTCTGCCATGCAGTGCAGGTGGAAATGCTTGTACTTTCCAGTGGAGCCACATGCCCCAGGGAGAGTCTCACCCAAGGATGGCAGACAGGGAGCCAGAGAACTCTGCGATAGGTATAGGGTAAAAGACAAATCTTCTAAAAAATAAAACCCATCAAAATTAACAGAGAAAGATGGGATTGGCTAGCTGAAAAGGGCTCCACCTAACAGGTTGTTTGCAAAGTACCAGGTGTTGGCACCTCCAAGGATAACCAGCCTAGCATGATGCATGAGAAACAGTAAGTGAGGCGCCCACAGATACAAAAGTATATGGGGACAGAGTTCCCAGCACTGTCTGAGAACACAGTGCAGTACCAGCATCCACAAGGGGGAAGGTCTCCAGGTGTCACTGGTCACTGGGCTCACTGAACAGAATTTGAATTTTAAACCCACAGTCCTTAAGCCAGCCTTGGCAGGCTGGCACAGGTAAAAACCAGCTGCACAGTCAGGTGGTATAGCCTGTTCCCCTCATACCGTAAGTGACACCCAACAGATCAACTCTGATATATCTGCATGTATTTCTGGATTTGCACCCACAGAGCCAACTATGCTACTGACACCAAAAATTCGTTAGTTAAGGAAGAAGAACATCACTTCTCATCCTTTTGGCTAAGATCAAGTGTAGGACGAGATAAAACAAAAATTATCAGCCAGGCACAGCCCAACTATTTGGGAGGTGAGGCTAAGGACGATTGTGGTTCGAAGCCAACCAGGCAAAAGTTAGCAAGACCCCATTCTCAATCAAAAAGCCAGGCATGGTGGTACAAGCCTGCGATCCCAGGTACAGGCAGAAAGGAGGATCTCAGTTCCAAGGCTGCCCTGGACAAAAAACAAGACCTACCTGAAAACAACCTAATGTAAACGGTCTGGGGAGGGGGACTCAAGTGCTAGAGTACATTCAATATCTGCCTACCAAATGCAAGACTCAGAGTTCAAATCCAGTACCACTAAAAAGAAAAAAAAATTATCAGGGCAAGAAACTGGACACTTGATTCTTCTTGTCTGCTCACAGACTGATTCACACAGTGCCCACCAAGTCCCGGGTAAGCTCCTTTCTCAGGACACAGAGGCATCACTCACCACTGGTGGAAGGCTCTCGCTCAAACGATAGTGACAGTGACCCTCTGGAGGAGAAAGCCGAGTCCACTGAGGACACCCCCGAGAGCCGTTTGCCGCTGCTGGACGACGGGAGTTTGCACTCAGAGGAACTGCGACTAAGCTCCTCGGGGCCCTCCAGGGTCTGGGAAATCCCGGAGTCCAGCTGCGAGAGCAGCTCAGAGAGGCTGCAGTCATTATCGAAGGGCGGAGCGGAGGCACGCTTGAGACGGGAAGAACCAGGCCCAGCCTGCAAAGATGGAGCAGAGGGAGGTGGTGAGGACTTTGCCTCGTCCTGGTCCTCCATGATGGGACATGGAGAACAAGGCCAAAGATAGGAAGGAGATGGGCAAGAACTCCACCAGCACCAGGAAGAGGTATAGGTACCATGGGAGGAGGGAGCCCAGAGACTCAGGGGCTGCACAGACAGCTCGCTGGGCCCCCCAAGCACAAAGAGCAACTTCCTAAACATGGGAACCCAGCATGCTGCTGTACTGGATGTCCCCTGCTCAGGGGACACTGTCTGGGACACTGTCTAGACCAAGACAGATTATGAATAACCTGTAAGAGTGTAGAACAAGTGTGGCTACGCCCTGTCTACCAGGGTCAGCTGACTTTGGAAGAAACCAAAGGAAGGAGATGGAATCAGGCTGGGGTCCCCTGTCCTGCTTTGCCAACAGCTTGTGAGCTCTCCTCAAAGTCCAGCTTAGTCTGTGGACGAGGGCAAGGGGTAAGGACCAGCTATGGGAACAGCAGGCCATCCAATCCAAGGTACACTAACAAGGCCCTTCTGAAGGGTCTTGTTTGTACACAGGCTTCCTGTGAGTGACTGGGTCTGACAGGGAGACCCAGTCCTCTCAGTTCACATGCTTTTCTCCACACGCCTCTTCTGGGGGCCACTACATTTGCTCCAACTTGGTCGCCTGGTGCACCGAGCCGCGTACACTTGCTGGCTGCCCTTCGTTGCTTTATCGGGCCAGGTCTGCCTCTTTGCCAGTACCTCCTGGTACCTTTGCCCTGTCTCTCACCTGCACCTTAAATGTTTACACATCTCCAAGACACCAGATAACAGTGAGCCATACAGCTAGCTTATTGGGCTTCACACGGCAGGGCTGCATTGATCTGATTACTGTGTGGGTTACTTGGTCACCTAGCCCTGCCATCTGGAACTTATCCTTCTGACATTGCCTATGTGGCACTGGTACAGCAAACTCTTTAGGAGCCATTAAAAAGTGACCAGATCTCAAGCCAGGGTGCAGAGGAACCTAGACCACCCATCCTCTGCACCCTGGGCCCCTTGGGAGCTGGGAGCCTTCTTATCCCCGAGATTCAAGGCACATCCAAGGGTGTGGGGGGGTCAGTCAATATCAAGTGTGTGCCCATGTTTCTCATGCCTAGTCTCAAGCAGGAGACAAGGAGGGAAGCGGCTGGGCAGATGAGCCGGGACCTGCCTGTAGGACCTGCACTTTTAATGGAGTTGGGCACAGGACAGCTCAGAGGAGAGGAGAGGAAAGCAGCACAGGCTGGCTGGGAATTTCAGAAAGGAGGGGCAGTTTTGGAAAACTCTATCATGGAAGCCACCAGGAGAAGATCCACTTTCCTTACCTCACTCTTGGGCTCCGCTGGACTTTTCCCACTCAGCTCCTGAGTTGGCTCTTTCATCTCCTCATCAGGTTTTTCACACAGATCTTCGGTTTCAGAAGTAATTTCTTTAGGGGAGAAAACACAAATGGCATGTCCCTGGGATAATGACTTGTGCACATTCTACAGGGACAGAATAGGCAAAACCCTGAAGCCTGTAAGCAGCAGAGGACAAACCAGGCACCACCAGCACTACCATTTCTCAGGCAAGCTCCAGGGCTTCCACAAAGGTGATTTGCCCACCAATCTGAGCCTGCCATAGGCAACCATCTGCAGGGTCTCTCCAGATTCAGAGCAGGGACTTCCTCAGTGACCCACTGGATGCATGAGGCAGAGCTGCCAGTGCTGACAGGTGAGCACAGGCCCACCCATGTGTCTCCCCCTTAAGTTTGAAATGCTATCTCATTAGAGTCACTCTCCCATCCAAAAGACACATCTGCTCCCTGAGGCCAATTCCAAGAAAAGCGGGAGAAAGGCTGCAGGCCACCAGCTGCAACAGTCTCCTGAAAGATGCACCATTGTATCTGAACTCGAGACTTGAAGTTTCAAGAACCCCTAGGTTTCCTGAGCAGTAAATGCAGTCCTAGCTGGGAGTAAGGGAGGAAGGCTGGTGCTTGCCATTCAGTTCCAGTCACAATATCCTGGCCCAAGGCAGAGGCTGGGCCAACCTGTCTGTGCAGGATGCATCTTGGCCTGCCTTTCTCCATTCCATCATTTACTACCAGAGCTGATTTCCAACCCTGCCCTGGTCCCCTGCTCACCTTGGAAGGTGGGCCGCTCCCGTGGGTCCTCATGCCAACACCTCTGCATGAGGTGGATCAGGCTTCCACAGGCACGTGGCCGGGGTCTGCACACAGGTGGCAGCTCGGGACGGTGACCTTTCACCACCTTCACCATGATGTGCAGGATGTTTTTCTCCTCTGCAAAGGAGAGGCACAGCTATGTCAGAGAGGTGCCATGGCGAGCAGGAAGGACGAGTGTGGGCAAGTGCAAGAGACATGCTGGTGGCATATCACCTGCACTGTCCCCAGGTGACTACTGCACTGCCCTTTCCAGGCCCAGGGCTTTCTTTAACCCTTATCTTACAGGGCAAGGGTTTCCTTTCCCCCATGTTGTGACCTGCCAGAGGAGGACACACAAGCACGTGCAGGTTCTATTATTGTTGTTGTTTTGGCCCCAGCTTCTGCCCTGATTGAGAAGGGCCCAAGGAGACCCTCAGTGAGCCAGGTTCTTTTTCTGATCAGCTTAAACCATGTGGTCCGTCAAGCTGTTCCTACAGCCCTCTCCACCTTAGAGCTCCAAACACGCCCTTTAGAGACACGGCACGAATCAGCAGGTGTGGAAAATTGGCTCAAAGTCACTGATGGCTGCCAGGAAGCTAGACTGATGCATTGTTCCATTTTCCCGTTAAGTCTTGTGCAATAACTATCTTCAGCATCTGCAGGTTATTTCCATGATAACTCAGCCTTCCAAACCCAACAGGCCTCTGAATAAAATCCAGTGAAGCAAACACCTGGAGTCTTTTCTGCTGCCAAAGAAGGACTGAAAATGTCTGTGGGACACCAGGAGCCCCCAGACCTTGACCCCTTTATCTAGGAGGCAATAAAACCCAAGGGCCTTGATCCTTGACACGTACACCACTCCCTGGCTCAGGGTGCCATATTCATCAGACAATCTCATGTCCAATTGGCAGGTTGCCACACTGAAAAGAATTTAGGCCATAGAACTCCACAAAGGACACACAGTTGGGAAGGAGCAATGGGGAGCAAATGTGGACAGAACCTGTTAGAAGAGGGATGTCGAAACATCCATTCTCTGTTGGAATTTTAACAGGCTCCCAAGATACTCCAAACCTGGCCATAGTTGGAGGCTGTGGGCTGCCCTCTTCCATACACCAGCCCTAAGTCTGCACTTCCACCAGCCACGGGCTCCCAGGCCTGAGGGCCACTCGGAATATATATCTTTAGTGACTGAACCCCAGGCCTCAAGCAGGCTATGCAAGATCTGTACGGTAAACTTCTTAGGTCAAATCACACAATATGGGTACCCCAAAGTGCCAGCAGAAGGAAAGAAAGAAAACCACTTCTCAGTGCAGCTGAAAGCTACTCAGCTTGTAAAATAACCTAAGGCAAAGTGTTATAACTCCAAGAACAGAAGTCAAGAGCAGAGGATGCCAAGACGAGGAGTTGCCAAGCTCTCCCCTCAGCAGACTCTGCCGCGCGGTTCTGGAGGCTGTCAGTGTGTAATGTCCTCAAAAACACACGCACAACAGGACAGATTTTGTAACGTGGCTTTTTTTTTTTTTTTTGAGACAGGGTCTTGCTATGTAGCCCAGGATGGCCTCTAACTCATGAGCCTCCTGCCTCAGCCTCCTTAGTGCTGGGATTACAAGTATTTATCATCATGCCTGGTACCACAATGTTTGTAAATTAAAAAGAAAGGAAAAGGAATTATCAGGAAATGTCCAAAAGAAGTAAATCCATGGAGACAGAAAACAGATTAGCGGTTGCCAGGAGCTGGGAGGGAAGAGAATGGGAGGAACCACTAATGGACATAGGGTTTCCTGCGAGGGTAGTAAATGTTCAGGAAGCAGATAGACAGACAGTGGTGATGCTTGAATATCCTGAATGTCACAGAATTAAATGCTGTAAATGGCAAAACCCATCTATTTTGTCACATGTATTTTGCCCTCAAAATCATTTAAAACTAGCCCTTAAAAACGGACACCTTCTAACCTGTCTTTTCCTATAGGTCACTGGAGTGCAAAAGCACTCTGTCAGTGTTAGAAGAGCCAGGATGAGGTGGCCAGGACCTCCATGCAGCCTAGCTGAGCAGGACAGAGCCCACCCCACTCTGAGGGCCACCTAGGCAGCCCTATCCAGAAGCATGGGCCACAGGCACCACAGAAGGACTAAGAGGGCACACAGAGCACATCCCCACACTGTTCCAGGAAAGAGAGGGCCATGCACCTCAAAGGCAGGGCCACTCACCTGCAAACGGCTTCTTCTGTGTAAGCACACCCCAGATGACAATGGCAAAGCTAGAAGAGAAGCAGCACGTTAGTCTGTGAGCTGCAGCCTCAGAAGAGGTTGAACTCTGACCCACCTACCAGCCTGAGAACCCCACCCCAGAGCCAGAAAGACAGAGATGGAGATGTCGCCCCTCTGCTTTTGAAAAGGGAAACACTCGAGGAAACCCACCCACTGGTTCTCAGATCTGAGCAGATGACAACACCACCTGAGCGTCAGTCTTCAGATAGCAGGAGGATCACCCAGGGGCCACTGCACTGTAGGACTCCAGGCTCTCAGGGAGAATGGCCCTGGGCCTGGGCAGGTGCTCAGAGCTTGCTGAGTAAGTACAGGAATGAAGGCAGGTCATTTTTACCACCCTTGCTCTCCTCCTTAAGTTGTCAAGACACAGATTCAGGTCCTGACTAAAACGTTCCTGACCTAGCTCACACAGAGTCCTCATCAGAGGGGTGCTTAAAAAAAAACACATGAGTGGGGCACCAGTGGCTCACATCTGTAATCCTTGCTACTTGGGAGGCTGAGATCAGGAGGATCATAGTTTGAAGCTAACCTAGGCAAATAGTTCATGAGACCCCCCCCCCGGCCCCAAAATATCCAGAGCAAAATGGACTGGAAGTGTGGCTCAAGTGGCAGACCACTTGCTTTGCTGCAAGTGTGAAGCCCTGAGTTCAAATCCCAGTCCCACCAGAAAAAAAAAGAAAAAAGGCACACAGAGAGAAGGAGCGAGCAGGTGTGCACTGCAGCTAGTCTCAGGCTCTAGCATTGATTGTGACAGAGACACCAAAAAAGCACATTGAAAATTAACTGCACTCCACAGATGCAAAAGTTGAAACAACTCCAAAATAAACAAAGCACCTTACATCTTACTCTCCCCAAGCTCTACAAGCCATGACTGTTCCCCAAAGGGCCATTCCCAGCAGACTCCCTGCTCCAAGGCAGGGCTGAGCACAGGAACAATGGCTTGGTCAAACCAGTCAGCCAGGGCTGAGGTGGTGGCATTGACAAAGGCAGGCAGAGCCAAATGCTCTGGGCCACTCAGCTCATGCCAACCAGAGCCCGAGACGGGCTGCGGTGCACGCCTGCACTCTCCCTCTCTCTCTCTTCTCCAAGAAGTCCTGATGATTAAGACCTTTACGATCTGAAGAGGGAAGGGAGTGACCAGGAACTGTCCTCTGAGCCCAGAGATCCCGCTGACTTAGGTGTGAGCAGGTGAACTAGCAAGTGTGAGCTCCATGAAGTCAGGAGGAGACTGAAGGGTAGAGAGCCCGAACCCACACAGCTCCGTGGGCCACTTAAAGCAGCCGCTTCTTCCGGCAGACAAGCCATAAAACCCACGTTTCATAAAAAGCTGGCAGCTGTTCTACCTGGCACCAGCTGTGCACATTCTCTTCCTTAGCCTAAACCACCCACAGGAGAGGAAGGCCTGGCTGCCCACGTAACCTGTACCCAACAACTAGAATCCTATACCCAACAGGCATGTTCCCCTCTCAGGACTAAAGTCCCAGGCTGATGGGCACCCAGAGCCTTTCTGGAAGCTGCTGTTTGGGCCACAAAGAAGAAGCAAGGCTCAGGAACCTCCCCGCCCCCTGCTGTTTTGGCATGTCACACACCTGTATACATCATGCTTGGTGTCAAAGAGCCGGCTCTTCTCCCGGATGCGCTCTGGTGGGAGGTAGGCAATCGTGCCAAACAGGCCATCCATGCTGAGGTCATGTGAATGGGATAGCCCATTGCACTTGGCCAGCCCAAAGTCAGAAATCTGCAACACAGCAGTCAGAAAAAGGTGTTAGACTTCAGTGGAGCCATGCAAGGTCATAAGCTGATACTTCATGGCACTTTACCAGCATCTCCCCTAGGTAATGGCAGTTTCCCAACCTAAGCTGTGTTCCTGGTCTCTCCAGGTAGCCCTGCCCCCAGGCTTGCAGGAGCCACAGAGGCTCGCTCAGGCATCAGGGAAAAAGATCATGCTTGAAGGAAGGACGTCACTGGGAGACAGAACTGAAGAACGACAATCCTGTAAGGCATCACGTTTGCCCTTGTGGCTGACAGCCATAGTAGGCATAAAGGGAAAAGCAGCGCTCAGAGTTTTCGGGTAAAAGAGACACGTGACAAGCCAGGGCATCCGGTTATGCAACCTTCCAGTTGGGGAGGCCACAAGTGGTAGCAAGTCCTTTACAGCACAGCACGCTTTCACAAGCCTTTGCAGCAAGCAAAACATACCCAGCATCCTCCCAGGCTCTCTGTTCCCTGCCCTGAATGATCAGAATGTTTTGAGATCAACAGACACTCGCTAATTCCTCCAAACACATGGTAACCCCTTCCTTGGCAGTGCCCCTGGCACCAAGAACTCCAGATGTCAGCTACTATGAGACCCCCACTTGTGTCTCCCAAGTCCACGGTAAAGGCAAATCCCCTTCTGGGAAGGGTGTCCTTCCAGCAAATGCACACCACAGTGGGGGACCTGGCAGACCACCTGGTGTACACCACACAGAGCCTTCGAAGTACTATGTAGGATTAAGCCACAAACTCGCTGACACTAAAGGGCGTCCTGATGTGCTTGGAATTGGCCCCTGTCCCTTCTTCAAGGCTGATGTATTTTAAGCCTTTTAATTCACTCCTTGGCTCCTCCTCAAACACACCCATGTAGCAACAGGAAATGGGCTGAGTCAGGACTCTTGCTTCTAGGCTGGCTGTGCCCACGAGGGACCAATGGGCCTGGTGTCACCACGACTTCACAGCAGGAAGAACTTAGGACCAGTGGTTTGCTCTTTGAGAACTCCCTGAGCACATCTGCAGAAGGTGGCAGGAAGGCAGCCCTTGGTACTGGGCCTGGCCGTAGAGGCTGAGCTGGCATTCCTGGCCATGATTCCACCAGGCCCAGGCACAAATCCTGGGCCCCCTTGGTTCTGTTGATTCTACAAGTCTCCAAGGCCTAAAAAGAAACCCCCAACTCTGGGATGGAAACTGCCAATCCAGGGGTAAAGCCGTCCCCAGTCCTGCAGATCTGCAAAGCAGCTCGAAGGAGGGAGACAAAGCAGAATATACCTCTCAGCAACAGTTTAGGAAGAGACAAGTGTCAGTCCAACAAGTGCCAGCAACCCGAAACGTCTTAAATTCGGAAATGAAGACAGAAAGGACTTGGTGACCTCAGTGCTGGGTGCTTCCCCCAAATGGGATTATTTTTATTCCGTTGTGTCACTGTCAGGTTCAGTAGCCACGACAAAATATACTGGATGAAGAGGAGGCTGGCATCAAATACACAATGGGATGCATAAATCCCTGAGGGTGACCTTCCCACTTGCTTGCCTAGGGTGGCCTCCTCACCCTGTGGTCATAGCAGTGGGCACCAAATGCCTCATAATTGACAAACACACCCCTGACTCGGTATCCCAAAAGCTCAGGGCTCACAGGGCCCTCAAGAGCATTGCCCGTTCACTTTGGGTCTAGCTAAACAAGACTAACTCAAACCAGATACCAGTGGCTCACACCTGTAATCCTACCTACTTGGGAGGCTGAGATCGGGAAAATCGTGGTTCAAGGCCAGCCTGACTTTATTCTGGACGACCCCATCCCCAAAATAACCAGAGTAAAATGGACTGACATTTGACTCAAGCAGTATAGTCCTGAGTTCAAACTCCAGTCCCACCAAAAAAAAAAAAAGGCTAGCCCAGCGACTTGCTGCTGCCTTAAAGGGACACACCTTTGGACACACTGCAAACAGAGTCCAGTCTGGGTAAACTGGCTTCAAAAATGCAGCCTGAGAGCCTAACCAAGGTGTTTCATTTTGACTGGCAATCAGCACTTACCATGGTTCTTCAGTTATTTAATGCGGAGTGACAGAAAGCAAAAATGCAAAGTGTGACACATTTCAGTTCCACTCACGCTGCCTGCAGAGAGGCAGTGTGGGTCTGGGGCATGGGGGATGGAGTGGCAGCTTCTGGCCCTACCTCAAGATTCCACAGTAAACGCTTCACTGTCCACTGAACTGCCCAGATATCCAAAGGCCAATCCACACAAAGCGTTCGAGCTTTGTCCTGGGCTCAAAGGCGCTGACCCTTAGCACCTCGGTGTCCTCCTGCCCACCCCTACACCAGCTGTTTCTAAGAATCAAAGAAAGACAAATCATGTGAGCATGTCTGTTTGTTTTTGGCTTCTTCACAGTGACTAACACACCTGATTAAGAAGGGTGTCACACAAAAGCAGCCAGTAGACTGGCCTCTGTGTCTCAGCCTGGGCTCCTCTGTGTCCCACCAGGGCTCCTCTGGCCCCTTCCCAGCCACTCCAGCTGATTCTTTAGGAATCAGAATCGCAACTATAATTGCCCCAGGCCACCAGCCTCTCAAAAGCAGACATTTCTCAGCAGGGAGGCACAAACTGATGCATCTCCAACCACTGCCACAGTGACCTGCAGGAAGGCCAGCCATTACTGGCCACAGGTCAGACAGCAATCCTCACCTCCTCACCGGGTGAATGTGCAGGGAAGACACCTGGCTGAGCACCAGGGCCAGGGAAGGATGACCTACCAGAAGGAAATCACAGCTCCAGGCCCGTACCTCAGGGGCAGGCACTGTGTGAGCACCCACCATCACCAACTCTTGACAACAAGCCAGGTGAGGGTTATCAACCTGTCCTTCCCCACTGCCAGGTGACAGAGCTGGGGGGGCTGCATCCCCAGTCCCACCTCCCAGGATGACACCCAGGAAGGAGACCAGTCACCATGTCCTCCGAGGAGTAGCCCCTCAGCTCATCCCAAACATACTTGTGCCTGTTAGCAAGGCAGGGCTGTGAGCAAGGGACTGAGGGGGACAAATGCCCAGCCAGGCAGAGGATGGCTGAGGACCTGCACAAGGACCCCAGGTCACAGGGCCCCTGGTGCCTGGTGAACAGCAGCTTCCCTGAGAAAAGCTGGTTTAGAGCAGACAGCTCCCATCACGGCAGTCCTTAAAATGGAGCTAACTCTCACACACCCTCTATTCTAATCCAGCTGTGCCTGCTGCTTTCCATGACCTTTCCTGAGATGTTCCCTCCCACTTGCATGCCCCACTGTGGACAGCAGCAGGCCTGCCCTCTCTGAAAGCCTAGAGCTCCAGGTGCAGCCAACAGGCATCCTATACACCTGCCCTCTGCTGGGGCCTCTGGCCTCACTGACTGCCACAGGCCAGGAGGAAGGGCTCCCCGAGCACCTCACATGTGGGGGGGGGGGCGGGAGTACGGAGGGGGAGATGTTGGGAATTGAGGGCTCTGGAGAGCACAGAATCAGGTTCCAGCCTCTGCTATGTGACCCACAGCTGGATGGCCCTAGCTGAGAATCTAACCCAAGTCCCAACTCGGCAAGTGGTGACCGTCCGTCCACACTGCACCTCCGCTCTGAAGGTGAAGGCAGCTCCTGCAGGTGGAGCCCTGGCAGAAGACAAGGGCCCATCGTTTCCTTCATCTCATTTACTCTGCACATTTGAAAGTGAGTATCGTATTATCCATGAGTCCACAGGACCTGCCCTGTGCAGGGAGGACAGAGGCCAAGCCTGACCAGCCACCAGGAAACTGGCAGCCAGATGCTGGAAGCCACCATGAAGCTGACTCACACCACATTAGCTGGTGTGCACCTCTACAACCTCAATTCCCTGTTCACAGGGCTTCAGGTCATCTTTCAACTGAGCGATGCCTACCAAAGGGACAACTTGTATTGCTCAGAGGGAAAACAGATTTCTCTACCTGGAGGAGTCTGGGTTCACAGAGCAGCCCATGGGCCATGGTGCCATGTGTCCAGGCACAGCAATGTGACCAAGCACACAGCCAATGACTCTGTGATGACTTTATCACGTAGGGCTGTGAGTTACACGCGGCACATTTGGGAAACCCCAGGGCGGACGGTGGGACACAGAGGCCACCCAGAGGAGAAACATGTCCAAAGCAATATAGCCTGATGCAAAAATGACATTAACCACAACTCTGGGCAGCCAGGGCTGCTAGCTGATGCATCACCCTTCATACTTGCTGTGCTTTATAAACTTTCAAAGAGAAAGAGAAAGCAAACCTCACAGGCTCACAACAATGCCACCTGGCCCTGCACACAGTCCAAGAACCAAAATCCCACCAACCCTGACTTCCCCCAGGGGAAATACACCCTTCCACTGCAGGGCCTGAGGCTGCACGTGGTCCATGGGCAGATCTCTAATCCGGTTCACAAATCCCTCAGTAAAACTGGGATCAGTAGTCCTTAATCTGTTTCAAAAGTGCTCAGAATTTAGTCACATGCCAGGACAAGGGAAAGGCCCTGTGTTCACAAGAGTTCGTCATCCAGCTACCCATTGCATGGTGTTTACAGCTGCCAGGATGAGATGGGCACCCTGGAATTCTTATGCTTAGAGAAAGCCCTGGCTCCAAGCTCCCTCTCTCAAGAAGAATTGCCTCCTTTCCCAATGCCACCCTGGCCTCCAGCTCCATTCCTGAGTCCTAGATGTTCTGGGACAAGGTAGACCCTGAAGCATCAGAAAGCAGTTCCCCACTCCCCACGGGGTGTACGGCCCTCACCTTGACATGGTAGTGGGCATCCAGCAGGATGTTGGCAGGCTTCAGGTCCAGGTGCAGCAGGGGCGGGGCCATGCAGTGCAGAAAGTTCATGCCCACTGCAGTCTCGTGCACAATTCGGAAGCGTAGGTCCCAGGGCAGCGGCTCCGAGGCCAGCAGCTTCTCCAGGGAGCCTGTCTCCATGTACTCCATGACCAGGCCAACGGGCTCCCGGCAAATGCCATACACAGGCAGGATATAGCGGAACTTGGCCATCTCCATCTTCTTGGCTTCTTCCAGAAGCTCCAAACGCTCCCTGGAAAAGTGCAAAGATGTGAGGGGCACACAGCGGTCACCTAGCCGTCACCTAGCCACAGACAGGAACCTGCTGGCTAGGATTCAACCAGACAACTGAATGCTGGGCCTTCCAAAGTCTGCAGTACTAATCTGTCCAAACCTAGCTTTGCACTGTGGGGCCACTGTAAGTGAGGAGAGAAAGTCAACAGTATCTCAACACCTCCAGGCCAACACTGGAGGTGAATGCGACAGACAACCCTTGAAGGATGAGGGAAGAGCAGCTTAGGTTCAACGGACAGTTGCTAATTACCCACCTGGAGAGCCCATTCAATTCCTGTTTCAGTCAAGCACTTTCACTGGCTCAGTCATTTCTCAATCCAACCTCACACTTTAACTGCATTAGCCATGCACAGGGCTGGCGAGGGCCACATGCAAGGGTGGCCACAGTTTTCAATTGTGGCCATTTGTAAGCACACAATGTAACAGCATTACACATCGCCAACGCTGTGTGGCCACCAGGCATCTATACCCAGAACTTTTTCCCTCTTCCCCAACAAAATCTACATTCATTAACACTTCTAAGGCCTGACAAAACCCCCAGTCCTTGGTAACCACTCTCTTTCAGTCTCTATGAATTTGCCTACTCTAGGTGCCCTTTGAGTGGAATCACCCCAATACCCGTTCTTCTGTGCCTGCCACATTTCATGAAGCGTGTTTTTAAGGCCTGTTACAACACATTATCATGCCTAAATAACGCTCCAGTACATGAGGACTCTACATTCTATTTACTCATCCATCTGCTGATGTTTAGGATTGCTCCTATCTCCTGGCTCCTGTAAGTAACGGTGTCACCTGTGCACAGACCCTGCCTTCAGTTCTCTTGGATATACACCTAGAAGTGGAATTGCTGGACCAGCTGTGGTCCACAGCCTGCCACCTGCTTTTGCCAGTGAGGTTTCACTGTGGCTCTCTCCCTGTTCACTCACTCAACACAGGCCCACGGCCTGCACAGCCTAGGACATTCACCCTCCAGCACTGCACAGACAACATTTGGCAACCCCTAGGCCTAAGGTCATATCCCTGGTGTTTTTACAGATGGAAATCACAGTGCAATGGTTTGTGTCACCATCAGGAGTCAAAGGTCTCAGCGTGCATTCAAGGGAAAGGGCTGAATCCCTGGGAAGATGCCACACCCCCTTCTAGGTTAAAAAGGGAGGCTGGGGAATTATGGGTTCCCAGGCCTCTCTCCTTGAGAAGGCTTCCAGGTTGGAGCTGGGAAATCTGCTTTCTAGTAACAATCTCCCTAAAGGAAACATCCAGAACCACACCTGGAGAGACCTTTTGGAACTGGGCAGCCTGGAGAACCCAGAAATGCCTCTCTCTGAATGCAGACAAAGACCAGTGCAAGCCCCTACCTGTAACCCCAGACACAGCTGGGCCCCCTTGCTCCCACCACAGGGGCTCTTCTGGGCTTGGAGTAGCTCCTCCCAGTTCCAGCCTGATGGAGAACTAGAAATGGTACAGACAAGACACTCATCTAATCTTCTCTGAGACTGTAACAGGTTCCAGGTTTCCTTTACAGTTATGAAAACATGCCCCACACAGGAAGGACACGATAAGCAGGAGGAGCCCCTTGGATTCTGGTGTTTATCAAAACTGTAACATGTAACTCTTCTTGGGTGCTGAGTTTTGGCAGAAAAATTCCCATACAGGTACCAGGGGGCTGAGACACATACACCAAGGGGCTACCCAGGTCTCAGGGAGCAGACCCCTGGCCTTAGGAACAAGTGAAACTGGAGTTAGGATCACTGAATGACTACAAGAGTCTGGTGTGGCTTGGTCACTTTGGTTAAAATGACTGCTAAGTGTAAAGCAGAGTGTTCACAGGGGTGCAGAGTCAGCCTACGGGGCCCCTGAATTGTCCGTCCCTCCAGTGAGAAACTCAGAGCCTGGCCCAGCCCAGGACAGCCAGCCTGCAGCCACAGGTTTGTCCAGGTTCTGGAACCAACAGAAAGATTCCTGACACTATGGGACTGCCTCTGGCTCGGTGACCAACAACACACACTGAGTCTAGGCCAGGCCAGGGGGCTCCCAAATCTATTAGTGAACTCTACAGGCATCTGAAGAAAAAATAAGTGAAGAAAGCTGGTCGCTCAGGAGGAGAAAGAAAACACCTCTGAACAGGACTCCTTTCTCCATCCGGCTAAGGACTGGCTAGTTGTGTAAACCCATCACTAGTACAAGGACCACTTCTAACTCCCATGTGTCACTACTGAACTTGCTACCAGCTGCTGTTTGTTTTGTTTCTTGTTCAGAATGAAAGTTATGATGTTTCTTTCCTTTTGCTCTTGTTTCTTTTAAAAAGTGGTCCTTCCTGCCCAGGAGGCACTGAGAGTCCTTCTTCAGCAGAGCTTAGAAACCCACCTCTACCACACTGCCCAGGGTACACCCTTCAGTCCCCAGGTTTGAGGAACTGACAGGTCAGATGTTTACAGGTCAGCCATTCACAAGGGCCATTTTTCCAAGTTAGGTAGACTTCCAAACAGTGACTCTTTAGGCAATCCTGACTGATAACAGACATGTACTTTGAAAACAAAGTTGATTCAATTAAGAGTGCGCATCTAACTAGTGGAAGATCTGAGCCACTCTGCAAATGAAGTGTTTTCTTCCATTTGCCCAAAGGGCTTGATGCACACAGCCTAGGTGACTTCTGGTTGTGGTGCTCATTAAAGACTCTCCAACAGTCAAGGCTGGCAGCAGATCACACCACCCTTCCCACTGCACCAGGTTCAGCAAGTTCTCCCCCTGCCAGCCCCAGGCCCTTTCCAGAGCAGAGACCCTATTTAAAAGCCTGGATAGCGGGTTGAGCCTCCTACGGGAGCCCACTCTGCGGCACACTACAGCTCAGAGGAAACCCAGTATGGTTCCCGTAATGCCACACATTTAAGCTACCCTGGGAGATAAGCCAGTGTCCTGGCCAAAATCACCTTCTTTGGGACTGAGCAATTAGAAAAGCCTTTGTCGATGTACACACCCTGGGGCTGCTGAGGTAGGAAGTTCCATCCCTATAGTGTTGGGTGTCACTAGTAGCGGCAGGACAACTCAATAAGCCTGAGAGGGACCAACTCCCCACTGCAGGGAGAGGCACTTAAGAAGAACACACAAAGAGCCCACCATTGTTTCTTGTTTGGTGTCAATAGCAATTATTATTTAAAATACATCTTTCCCCAAGCAGGGTTTCTAGTTTACGTTAATAACAACACAAAAGGAACAGTAGTTTTGTGATTATTACTATTGTTTTAAAACGATTTTCAAACCAGTCCAGAAGCCCTAGTACTAGGGTGGGGGCTGGGGGAATGCCGCCAAATCCAGGGCACTCTCCTACTGCCACCAAATCTAGTTTCTCTCAGTTCACAAGGAAGTGGCCACAGGACCCACTGATGTGAGCTTCCTTCCAACAGCTGGGTGGGCAGGCGTCAAATTCCTTGAGTCTCCTTTGCCCCTGGTGGAAGGGGTGCTAACACCCACTTCTGAACAGCAACAGGGAGGGTGCCCTCACCCTGGAACCCATTACCTGCTCCAGATGGAAAATCTGGGCATAAACAGAATCAAGTTGAGGGTTGTACTTTTTAAAGTGCCTCCTCCGTAGCACTTCAATTCAATTCAATTTTTTTCTCATTTGTATCCAGCTGTGGTGTGTTCCTCCATCCCAGGAGGGCCCCAGAATAAGGAGAAATGTCAAAACAGCACTTCTGCAAGGGACTTTCTAGAGACAATCTTTCTAGTTGACCATGGGGTCAACAAGGCAAGCCAAGGTCCCCCTCTGTTCTGTGGCACATGTACCTGGGGAAGGGGGAAGAATGAAAGCACAGGCTTGGGGAGCCAGGGAGGAGGTAGAGACCTCCCCCTACCCCCATCTCAAGCCACCACCCCCCTCCCGCAGGGGAGCAGCGGAAAGGGAGCCCTGGGAACCACCTTTGGGAGACTGGGGCCGGAAGGAGCCTCCCGGCCAGGCCTTCTGCACACCAACCCAATTATGTTCCCAGGGAGCCTCGGAGGGGTTCCCACACTGCTATTTTTAAAACCCGACAAGAATCGGGCTTGTTCAATTGTCAGCTCTGCAGTTACAAACCTGGGGTTTGCTCAGGCTCGCCCTGACTAGCCGGTGCATTAGCTGCTCCTGGCGGTGGCATCACCAGGAATTCTGTTATTCCAAGCTTCCTCTTAGCTGGGGAACAGGGCCTTTGGGGCTCTCTGTGTTCCCTCCTAACCGTAGGAGTGCCAGTCCTGACATTCCATGCCAGTGAGTGACTCCCCCAGTGAGAGTCCACCACTGGGGAGTAGGAGAACAGACTCCCCAAAGCCAAGCATATAACTAGGGTACCTGGCCTAGGTAGACACCATTGGCAGGAATTTCCCCACCCCCAAGAAGACTTCATGAGTGTCCCAGGCACAGAAACCCTGACCTTCCCTACACAGAACTGCCTGCTCTCAAGGCCAAGTGCTGTCTGCAGGTACTGAGGATCCAGACAGCAAGGAGCTGGGGCCGACACAGCCACAGGGAGCCAAGAGATCCCAGCTCTGACCAATGAAAACAGGCCTTGCCATTACCTGTGCCAGCGGTTGGCCCCTAACCAAAAAGTGGGGAAGGCCTTGCAGTCGGAATGATTCCAGTCACCCCAAAAAAGGCCCAGACCCTGTGGCAGAGGTACAATTCCTCAAATAGGCAAGATAAGACAGCTGGGAGAGCTGGGGTGGGGGAGGTCAGGAAAATCCCACTCCTTCCTCCAGGTAACACCTTGCAAATGCAGTGGAGGACAGCACATGGAAAGAGCACTGAAAACTTGGGCAGGACATCCCGCACAAGTGTCTCAAGGTTTAGAAACAACCTGGCAAGACAGTAATGCAACCAGCTCCTCTGGTACAACCCATGTAGACAAGGGCGAATTCCTAAGAAAGCCTCAACCTGAGCAGTGAGCCACAAACCCAGGGCTTCTTACAGTACAGCAGGGGTTTAAACAGCTCGAATACCAGAGAAGTCAAGCCCCGCAGCAAATGCACAATTCCAGCCTGATCAACCCCAAGGCCAAGTGCAGGAGGCAAAATGTTTCCAGCTGGGTGCTACTGCCCTCGATCTAGCCTCAGACATGCCACCACTTGCCAGGTTGGGCCAGGCAGGAAAGGCTTCCAGTTAAAGGACAAACACTTTTCAACCAGGCCATGCAAGATCCTAAGTGACTGACTGACTACCTCAGGTGGAGAAACCCCAGCTGTGACTAGGCCACCCAAGACACAAGGGCTGTTGCTGGAAGTAACATTCAGCCCATTTCCAGGACCCAAGCTGCAGAGCCGGCCTGGGCAGTGCTTGTTTACTTCACTTTCCAAGACAAAATCTTTGCTGGTAAATAAAGCTCAGTTCACCTAGAAAACTCCATCTCACTAACACCCCAAAACCATTAAAATACCCCTGTGCTGAGTCTCACCCTTCAGAATCTACCTGTTGGCTGGTATTCAAAGTGGCTTGGATTTCATCAAAACAACTATAGCACCCCTCCCGGCCTGAGGGGGGGACCCAGGACCCACTCAGAACAGAGGGGAGGAAGGAAGGGGAGCTGACCATGACTTTGTCACACTAATCCTCGCTCTACTGATCCTTCCAAGAAACAGTGGGTTTGTGGATCACAGCAAAAAGCCAACAGCTCTCTGATGTAGTCTCGCGGCCAGGATGAGAAAGAATGAAAAGGGGGTGAGCCCGAGTCTCATCCTCAGAGCACACTACAAAGGATAAGTAATTTAAACGTGCTAAGGTAAAGCTTATACATAAACTATCAAAACTCAAATGTAAACGTGGAAATCCGAAAAAACAACTGCTTTTCAAGAATTTTCTCCCCTCCCCATCCCCAAACTTATGCGCAGACCTGAGTCTTTTCAATTAATCACCTTCAGTAACACGGCAAGGCCCTTCCCCGAGGGCACGGCTTCGAAATGAATTTCCCTAAAATGAGAATATGGAGCTAGGAAGACGAAACAAGACCCCGGGTCCCAAAGGGTCTCCTTCACCAGGCCCGAGCCCAGGAAAGCCAACTCGCAAGTGCCCGGACGCCCAGGACGCCTCGCCTGAGCCAAGCCGGTGCTTCCGACCGAAATAATTACAGTCTTACACCAATTTGTGCTCCAACATAAATTACTGAGTAAGTCGAACGGAGTCTAACTACGCTCACAAAGCCCAGATGCCCACACGGCAATTTTTCTAAGCCGGGCGCGAGACCGCAGCGCCCAGGTGGGTCCTGGCCGAGCCGGACGCGCCTCCGAGGGGCGCTGCTCCCAGACGCACGGCGATCTCAGGACCCCAAAATTCCGGGGCCACTTGGGTCAGGGTCGGGTAGCACGAATTGGCACTGTGCAAGGTCTCGGGCAAACGCTGCCCTTCCCAGCCCCGGGTTTCCCCGGGCCAGCGCAATTAGATCCGGAGCCGGCGCTTGCCAAAGCAACCCCTGCGTTCTCCTGCCCGGGCAAGTCGAGGGCTCACGGCCTCCTCTGAGGCTGATCCCGAGGCGCCTCCGGATGGCGGGGGTGGAGGGAAGACCCCGAATCCAGCGCCCGAACCCCACGCGCGCGCGCGCCCGCCCGCCCCGGCGCCCCACCCGGGCCGCTGACCTGTCGTCGACATGCAGGCTCGGCGAGCACTTGATGGCGAGCCACGTCTTCCAGTGGACGTGGCGCACCTTGTACACCTGCCCGAAGCCGCCCGAGCCGACCTTCTCCCAGCCCGCGAACTCGTCCGCGTCGAAAGTGCGCAGCAGCCCCAGAGCCCACGGGCCCCGGTCGTCGCCCTCCATCGCGCGCGTCTCGCCGCCGCCAGGCGCCGCCGCGGCCGCCCAGGTGCCCAGGTGCGCGCCCCGCCTTGTGACGTCACTTCCGACGTACGCCCCGCCCCGTCGGCTCGTCGGTCCCGCCCCCAGCGCCCGCCTGGGGACCGGGTCCGATGAGTGCGGACGGACCGACGGACGCGTCGGGTCTCTGCGCTGTCCTCGGGTGCACTGACACAGCCGCGACGCGCGCGACGGCCGGCCCAGCCACGTGCAGTTGTAGGAAATAATTCACTTTGCCCAGTGCTGTCCTTTTCAGAGAAAAGAAAACACAGAATATCGCAGCCAGGATATTGACTTTGATACAATCGCCGATCTTACTCAGATTTTTCCCGATTTTGCTCGTCCTTTGCGTGTCCTGCGTTCTACAGTGCCTCCCCTGCCAAGATACAGCACATTCTGTCCGTCCTCACCAGGCCCTTTTGTAACCCATCTGTGAGCCCTGGAAATCACTAATCTCTTCTCTACTCATTTGTTATTTCACAAATGTTTTGTTTATATTCTGGAATTGTGCAGTACGTAATCTTTTGGAATTGGCTTTTTCAGTCAGCTTAACTCCTTACAGATTCGTGTCAGCACTCTCCTCTAAGACAGACAGTAACTGGATTCTTTTAAATTTTAATTACCCTACAGCAAACCCAAAGTCCACTTCAAAGGTGACAGGTTTCCCCTGATCTTTTTTTTTTTTTTTTTTTTTTTTGGCAGCATTGGTGTTTGAATTCAGGGCTTCACCTCCACTCCTTGAGCTACTCTGCCAGCCCTTTTTTGAGATTTGTTGTTGTTGTTGTTTGGTTGGTTTTGGGCTTTGTTTGTTGCAGTACAGTACTGAAGTTGTTTACTTATTTATTTTTTGGCAGTACTGGGGTTTGAACTCAGGGCCTCACACTTGCTAGGCAGGCGGTCTACCACCTGAGCCACTCTGCCAGCCCAGCAGTACTGAAGTCGAACTCAGGGCCTACACCTAGAGCCATTCCACCAGCCCTTTTTTCTGATGGTTTTTTTTTTTTTTTTTTTTTTTTGAGATAGGGTCTCCCGAACTATTTGCCCCAGGGCTGGCTTTGAACCACGATTCTCCTGATCGCTGCCTCCTGAATAAGTAGGATTACAGGCATGAGCCACAGGCGCCCCTCCTCCCTTTCCAATAGAGAATAACTAATTTTTACAGATAGAAAAAAAAAAGACTCGAAAAGGAAAGGCGTTTTTCTACCTTGGGGGAAAAATTCCCAGCCCTGGAAAGACAACTGGGTCAGGGGTAGAAGTGTCAATCATACTTCCGCACCTCCAATGACACTCCTTCCTGCCACTGCGCCGTGACTGCACTCATTCCTCACCAAAGGAGATGAGTAATGGGCAGAGGGGCTGCTGGGCATCACCTGCTGGGAACTTCTCTTCAGGGCATGCAATCACCTCATGTCACAGCCAGGGAAGGAACCCTTTCTCCCACTAACCCCTGCTTGAGCTTCTCATGGAGGAGCTGGTGTCCCAACAGGACAGTGCCTTGCTTGGGAGCCTCCTAGAAGCCCCAGTCCATTCTAAGGGGCTTGCCCCATTGTTCTTCCTGAGTCCTGGGTACCAAAGGGTTATTCCAAGCTCCTTTGTAGCAAACGTCACTGTTACCAGAAAAAACTATCATTTCAACTAACACTTTAAGAACAGTTGTGTTTCCCCCTTGTAATATTAATGTATGCCAATAAAAATAGTTGTAAAAAAAAGAGTAGTTAGGGTTTTGAATACATAAAGATAACTTAAAAGTAAACATAGTCATTATTTTGGTGGGAAAAAAATGAATTGACTAGAAAATGAGTCACGCACCCCATTTCCGGGGTTCAGCTCCAGGTGCCTTTCTCCCTGGAGCTTCTAGTCTCGCCTGTGCACGGCTCTGCAGCCCCACAGCCAGGGGTGACTAACAGCTGCATAGCAGTCAAGTAATAAAGCACTCCAATTTCATTTCTTTAATCATCTGTGCTTCACTCAGCAAATATTTTTAGAGTGTCTGCTGCACGCTCAGTGTGGGGCTCCTGGGCCCTACCAGCCCCAGCTGCCGCGGGCAGGGACAAAGATCACAGCATGTGGACCTGGCTTGATCCCTGCTCCCCCGAAAACTTCACTGTTCTTAATCCTCTCTGAGAGGCAATTTGCTAATTTGTAAAATGGGAACAAAGTCCCTTGCAGGAGCTGTGAGGTGCGTTCTGGACCCTCCCGGACTGCAGGAGAGTACTTGCTAATTTTGTTAATGGTCAGCGGTCACTGGCAGGTGTGACTGATGTCTTTAAGCATAAAAGTAAAGTTCCACTTTCAATACACTGCAAGTCAAAAGAAAAGTGGACCAATGCCCCCCCAGCACGATAATATGCTAATAAAAGTAGTGGACCAATCTGAAGAAAAATAGGAAGTGAACAATAATACAAGTTTTTCATCCAGACTGAACTTGGGAGGTGGTGCAACAGCCTCAATGAAACTAAGAAGGATCAGAGTGGTCACGTGTCACGTGCTGTGGGTGTTCAGAAGGAAATCAATCAGCCAGATACCAGTCACAAAGCTGTGAAATTCAGAGGCAAGGCTGCTCACTGGCCTGGGGAAGGAGAGAAAGACTGGGAGGGGTGTGGGGCTGGCAGCCCACCATTGCAAGCCCCTAGCCCCCTCCCCCATGCTTATCCTGCCCTTCATCTGTATGAATTTCAAAGTCAGGTTTCCTCCTACACTGGGCCTCCTAAGTGAGATGGTGACCCCACAGATCCTAAGAGTGCACCCCTCTGCATAGGGACAGTTTAGCACCACAGCTGGACCCAGCAGGCTTGCAAAAGGCAGGGAAGCTGTCTTTTCGTTCTACTGTAGGGGACAGAGAAGGCTTCCAAGCTGAGAGGGACAGTAGAGGACTCTAGCCTTGCAGCTGTCCTGCCTGGGGTGGGTGGGACCCCAGGACCATGACCTTGGATGCGTGTGCTTTCCCTGAGATGCAGGGATGGCGATATGTTGCACAGCAGTGGATAGCATGTCAGGTGATGATAAATGGTATCGGTCATCATCGCCGATGATGCGTGTTTCCTCCAGGGGCTTTAAACAGTCATTTTCTTCTTTGTCCTCCTCAGGGGCCCAGGAGTGATCACAGCCCTCCTACCCCGCCAGCTCAGTTCATCTTGGAGCTTCTGGAGGCTGCCTGGTGGTCCCCGCCCCAGGAGGGTGGCGCCTCCTCCCTGCTTCCTTTCCCTTGCCAATGACTCCTGCCACAACTTGCACAGCCATCTTTCAGAATTCCCAGTGTGTTGTGTTATTTCTAAAAGAATATAACTTGTTCACACCATGGATTCTGTCTTGCTTAATTCTTAAGAAGTGGATTGGGATGAACCCAGACAGCAAGAACTGTAGCAGCCCCCAGGGGAAAGGGGCATGTAGGTCTCTTCCCACCCACCCCAACTTCTAGCTCTTTCTCAAGCAAATGCTTTCTGTTTACACAAACTCTCCCCTTTCAGAGACACCACCCCTTTTGGCCCAAGTTCCACTTCTGTCTTTCCCACAGTCTTCCTGGAGGCCTTTCATTCATTCTGTGCCCCGGGGACATAGCACGAAGACAGCCATTCTGCCCCAGGGGCGTGCAGTCTAGTGTGGAAGCCCTGCTGAGTTATAACCATAGCTGTAATCATGCCAGACCTCTCCCCTGAGCATTACTTCCAAATCTAACACGGTGTCCCCAGTAGGGTGTCACCTGGGCACGTTTGAGACAGCCTATGATTTTCATCCTCAAACCATCTGGAAATGACCCACCCTGATCTGAAAGCCAGAATCCAGTCCCCCATGCAGGCTCCACCAGTCCCTGGAGGACCCACGACAAGCAGCCCACTGCATCAGTACCACTCTACACCTGGACAAGAGAAGCCACCCATACACACTAACACCCCACCCTCCACCTGGACCTTTTGGCACCTGCCCCAGGCCAGCAGTGAGCAGTGGCCAGGGACTGGCCTTGAACTCATGAGTGTCCGGCCTCAGCCTCATTCAGGCCTGTCTCTTCTGCTCCTCACTGAGCCATTGGGATGTTCTGAGAACAGATGGGCCCTGCTTTCAGGATGGAGACGAGCCAGGCTTCTGTAATTTCAACCTGTGGTCTCTGCTTCTCCCGCTCCTGGCCACCCCTTCCAGTTCTCTGCTGGCAGGAGAGTTCACCCCTCCCTGCTCGCTCTCGGCTGGTACCTGGTTTCTCCCACTCGTCTGAGCTCAGTGTCTCCCCTGGCCCTAGACACCGTGAGATTCCACTGCTATTAACTCACAGGCGTGGTGTGTCACTGAGCTTATCGGGGGGCTGGCTGATTAATCCCTGACTCCTCCACTGAAGGCCCCGCAGAGTGTGAGGCTGGGGGCAGCCTCTGCCCACCTGTGCCATAGGTCCCTGCTCCTTGTCCCATAGTCACAGGGGCCTTCTTTCTGTTCTTCAATCAACCCAATTGCCTTCCTTCCATCTGCACTTGCTGCTCCCACTTCCCAGAGTGTGGGGTGTTTGTCCCTGATCTATGACCAGCCTCCCCCACTGCCTCTTCCTGCTCCGTGCCTCCTTCTCCGAGATGCCTTCCCAGATGACCTCATCTAAAACAGGCCTGATTCTCTCCAAGTAGACACCAGTCTTCCTGGGAGCCACACGAAGTTGAGGGAGGGGGCTGGTTCCTCTCTGCTACATCCTAACGCACTTGACATTTGCCTCAAGGGGAGTCCTGCCTGGGCTGCCTCCAGAGAGTGCCCAGTGCCCAGTGCCCAGGAGGTACTGCAAGTGCTCTGGACTCAGGAGTGCCCCAAACTTGCCCTGTGCACAGCACCCCTAGTTTCTGGGTGCGTGTCTCCTCTGAGGGGCTTTAAACAGTCATTTTCCTCTTTGTCCTCCTCAGGTCAAAGACCCTGCATTCTGAGTCATCTTTGTACAACACTCCTCTGCACAAAGAAATGCTCAATGTTTCACTTGTTATGTAATTAGGGCCAAACAATTTTTAAAATCATTACGAGAAAATAGGCTGGTGGTGCCTCA